ATAATCTGGGCAAGGTTGAGCTGTGTTGCAAATATTGTAGATTTGAGAATGGCCTGTGATTATCTTTGCAGCTGACAACACCTGCCTCTGACCTGGGAACTTTAGGTAAGCAGAAGTTATTATTGCAATTGCTACTAGAGTGTGTTCAATAATCCCATTCTGGGATTCTAGTTTACAAGCTGAACTTTTCATGAGTTTCCTTCAGTCCTAGAATGGATGTCAATTATGCACATTCTTGTTGATTATTACAATTCGAAAAACCTCCACTGCTACAACACTGCTGTGGGAAGGCTGGAGTTCACATTTGCTTTGGGTACCTGTGTGCTCCCGCCCTTACTATGTTAAGGTAATGCACAGTTGTGTTATTTTGTGAATGATTACAACTATTACATTGTGGCTGAGGTTCAGAATATACATGCACATAAAGACATTTGTAGTTTTCTTGTTATATGTTTTGGGGACAATTCAAGAAGGTAATTTTTGCATTGCATTGCAGACACTGGGGTGGGTGAAGAATTGAACTGTCTAGCTGTGTGTGTTTTTTCCTGTTTAGCCTCTAATATGACAGCATAAAATTCTTCATGTGATTTGTAATCTCAGAAGGAGGCAGTGGGGGGAAGGGTGAAAACCACAGTTCCAGCTTTTTGCTTATTGGTAGCACATTAACACCCACTAATAAATCATTGTACTAGTTCAACTGACATAACCTGCTGCTTATTGAATGTGGGGTTTGGGGAGGGTTGTTGTTTTTGCTATAGCACAAGGGTGGCCCCTTGTGGATTTCAGCCGGTTCAGTAAAGTGAATAGAAGTTCACAAGGAAGCCATGAGCCACACAGAGAGGCAGGAAAAAAACCCATCTGTTCCTTAAACATACATTACATTTGTACCAGTTGAACTGTCATGGCTTCCTCCAAAGAATTTTGGCTACTGTACTTCTCCTTCCCAAGGACTACAGTTGTCAAGATTCCCTGGAGCAGGGATACCCTACAAAATACTAGTTGTGAGAGCAGCAAAATTCATCTTTGCCTCAAGCAACACTGTGACTTGAGCCAGCTCTGCTCAGAAACTTTAAAATGTTGGTAGCATCTTCTGTAATATATGACCTAGGAAGACAAGCAGCAATATTATTTAACATAGTTGAATCCTGGTAATTTTGCATCCAATAGATAGCAGATTACTACTATTCCACCACCCAGTAGGCTGAGTTGCTTGCATTCTGCATCTCATATGACTGCTTTTAATGGAGGCAAGGGTTTAAGCTGTTTCTGTTTCTGGGGTCACTGAAAATAATGTTGTGACGCAGGGATTGGAGGGGGAGGAAAATCCAAAATTAATGTGACCCTGAATACTTGCAACTCACCTTGTTTTCTGCGAATACAGTTCAGGATCATTGGCTAGCTTTAAAAGGGCTTAAATGATGGGAATAATAATTTTCTTGACAGTGTGGTTACAAGACGTCAAAGAGCTTGAGCAATTGAATTCCTACAAACTGCATTTATGTTCTCAGGGGTTTTATACAACTCTGCAATGAAGATCCTGGGATTATGTGCAAACACAAGGTCTCGTCCAAGATTGCTTTTTTCCTCTATGGGAATATTTTTGGAATAACCCGTGTGAATGGATAAAGAAAAAAGAGTTGGAATGTGTTATCCACATGGATTGGTCAGGGGTGATACTGTAAGGAGATTATGGCCATAACTCAATGGGGAGCTCTAGGTTTGCATGCGGAACATCTGGGGTCAATTCCTAGTACCTAATGTTTAAAAAGGTTTGGAGTAGTAGGGCTCAGAGAGCCAAGTAGGTGATAGTGATCAAGTGATGGATTAATAGAATGATGATCCAGTATAACTGGGTCTTAATTTGACCTTATACATGAATGTGATACCAAAATACAGTGAAGTCCTGGAAGTTCTAAAGTATTAACTGGTCACAAATTCACCACTAGTTTGAGCAGGGGAAACCATGCATATATTTGCAGGATATTAAATCACAGGGACACCAAGTGTAAGTTTGCTGATAGTACCCCAGGAGGGCTAACTTCACAGTCTTCTTAACAGGTAGCACTGCTGATTCTCAGAATGAAATGGACGTTTAGAGAAACCTGCTCTGATGAATGTCACACTCCTGTCCTGAGCAAAATATTGTACATACAAATTCAAAAGTAGTGAAGACTGGTGGCCAGGTGGTCGTTAAATGCCAAACAACTCAAGATACAAATGCTTTGTGGGGATTAGAACATGACCAACCAGATAGAGACAGGCCTGTGGCTACAGTGGGGCCTCTCGGGGCTAGGGCCCCCGTGACTTCCCATCCAGCCAAAGGCCCCCGAGCAGTAGTGGGTGCAGGGAAGGAACCAAGTATTCCTGTGCAGCCGTCTGGCACGAAGAGCCAGCTACAGTGGCCACGTGGAGCCAGACGGCACCTCTCTATTTCCCCCAGAAACTGAATTAAATTACCTTTAATTCGATTAGCCAGTGCCCCCTAAGAAATTTAAATGCCCCCTGACTTTAAAAAATCCTGGCTATGGGCCTGGATAGAGAATAGACAATTTTTAAAGGGGGATGAGCTGGTCGGTAGTTGGGCTGGTATGTACCTGTATTAGCCTGCTGTGTGCCAGCAATTTGCTTGTCCCAATCTAGGATGGAGTAGAAGTGTAATAAACCTTATCTACAGACCTAGAAACCATCGCTGATATCTCTTGGTACTTGTAGGGCATGCCCCTGCCCCACCCCATATAGGAACTAATGTGGCACTGGAGAATGTTGGATTAGACATGGGGGAATCTTGGGTTCAAATACACTCTAAGCCATACAGTTCAATGGGTGGCTAAAGCAAGTCATTCTCTCTGGGCCCGAGTCCAGACTTCTGCACTGGGTGGTAATTAGAAATGAAATTGCACATTTTCTACAGACTAGTACATTTCATACATCTATGAAAAAAGGAACAAACTTTGCCAGTGATATCTTCTTGATCCTCTAGAAGGAGCTGTCCCCTATGAAGACACATTCCTGTCTCAAGGAGATATACAACATTCCCTTCACCTAAAGAGGTGGTTTCATGGGCAAGGGTTGGCTTTTTGTACCAAACTGAGGTCCATCTAGTCTTGCATTCTGGGTTGGGTCTTTCTCTGCTGTTCTAAGGTGGAGGAGGGTCAATCTTGGCTGACTCCCTTCATTGCTGCAGTCCCATCCCATGTGACTTTGTCCACAGGAGTCCCAGCAGAGCCTTTTCAGTGAGTTAAAATGTGCACCCTCCTTCCTCTTGCACCTACAATCAGGCAAACTTCTATTTTCAACCATACATGCCCAGATAGCTCTGTAACAGCTCACAAGCAAAGCATGAAGAAAAGCTTCGTGCTGTTTGTCTACAGCATTTTGGTACTAAGAGTTCTAAAGTCTCGGCATATATATTCTGGCTAATAACCATTAATAGATTTACCCTCTATGAATTTGTCTAATTATTCATTTTTAAACCACCTAAGCTCTCATCATACAGGACCTCTGTTTTCATTATGCCACCATAAATTTGCAGAAGGAATGGTTTCATTCATCTAAGAACATACAAGTTGGTTATAGCCATGTCAGACTCTTACAGTTTGCTAGTTTGGATAATCTAAAGTTATTGGTCTCCACTGAGTTTGAACTGTAAGGGAAAATGCAGAGGAAAAGGAGAACTGAGCTGCTTGGTCTATTAGAAAAGTATTGTAAATTCTTAACATTTTCCTCTCCTTCAATAGCCTGTTTACTTTTAATCACAGTGTAATTCAGGATCTATTGCTTCAAGCTCATTTAAATTAGAGTTCAGTGAAAGGAAGCTATCGTCTGCAAGTACAGGAAACATTTTCATTTTGCACAAGAATGAAGTATTGTGGGGGGGATGACTAGAAATTGTTACGATAGTTGATTAACCTTTCCACTATATACCCCATTGTAGTGAGTACACTCTAGCATACCATCTCTACAAGATGCAATATTAAGAATGAAGAATGGATCAGAAATAACCACAACTTTGTGTTTTTGAGGATTAGAATTACACTGACGGATAAAACAAGAGGTACCTATCATCCCAGCATTTCAGTTAATAAGGAGTCAATGGCTAACTGAACTTCAATTTTAAGTCTTATTCGTTTCAGTAAAAGTGCTCTATAGTAAATTAACAAGCTTTCTAAGATATGGTAGAATTTCAGAGTATCACAGGAGAAATAGTGTTCTCCTGCTATCCAAAACCAAGCTGAATCATAGTAAAGGAATTAGGTAAATATTTCTTTATTAAATGATTAATTCCATAAATAAATTCTCTTAATTCATTGAATATAAAATTAAATCATTTACAACTTATTCCAGTATTAGGGATTGTTTCCTCAAAAAAAAAGAAGCTACATTTCGATAAATAAAATATTCAGCTTTAAAGCCCACCAATTTCTGTTTGCGGGTATGAATTATATAGCTGGTACCTATAGCTGCCAGAGATGAGAACTCCACAAGTGCCCACCTTAGGAAGGAATGTAACCTCCAATATGAGTTTGGAACAACAACAAATATGTGATGTTATACTGAACAGTAGAGAACTGAAGGTTTTCATACCCAGGACAGACGGACAGACAAACGTAGAAACAATCAGTTACAAACAGAAATCAGTAATCATGAAAGTGCTCCAAAATGAAGCAATAAGATTGCTCCAGTATTATGAAGCTTTAAGTATGCTCAAACTGTTGCATTAGTATCCAGTTGCACAGTGCATTCTCGAGTCTCAGTGTTGCCCTCCCATGGGCGAAGGCAACACTTCCATCAAGAGTTCATTTTTCCACTGTTGTTACTTCAAAAATGTTTAAACAAAACAACAACCAAGCCTCTTGCTCAAGCCTGCACACATCACAACTTAGTCCCTAAATTTGTGGATATCATTGAATAGCCGGTAGTTAGGGTAGGCCTCATTTGCGTGGGGACAATTGTAGTTGCATCTGCAGGACTGGATCATCATGACATTCTTAGTGAAGGTCTCTCCATCGTCACAGCGAAACCGGATCTTGACAGTCCTGGTCTGCTGAGGAGTGCAGCATCTGCTGTCCACACACGAACCACAGTATTTGGGGCGGTACGTCTTCACACTGGAGCATCCTGCATACGTGAATTTCACTGGAGCTTGGGATTTTTTGGTCTTGGTGCATTTCTTTCCCTTCTGAAAGAAAGAGATGAGCAACATGGTTAATATAAGAGTTCTATCCTGTAGCCACCCTCCACCCAGAATGATTTTGAAATGATGGGAAGATGGCAACGGGGGTGTTAAAGGGAGTATTTACCTTTAAGGAGTCATAGCTAGGCTGCCCACATGGCCTCACTTCACATATCCTGGTTTCTTTGACTAGTCTGCAGTCGGGGTTATCATTGGTGACTCGGGTGGAGACGCCAGTCCCACAGGTCTTTGAACACTGTGACCATGAGGTTGTTTGCACAATGCATTTTGGATTCTCAAACGAGTGACTGTGTGGCTCCGAATCAAAGACTAGAAGGAAGAGAGGAAAAAAGAAGGGCCTGGTGTGAACTTCTTGTGCTCAGGAGCTCTTCAGTGTCTCTCCCCCCCCCCTGCCCTTTCATCAGCATGCAGAGCAAAGCGCTGCAGACATTCCAACAGATTATCCCTCCACTAAAGACATTCCAGCAACAACCCTCCCATCCCATGCTGTGGATAACATAACCCCGATATTAACTCACCAGGTAGCATTTTCAGCCCTCCTTTCACAATGGCTATTAGCTCGTTGTTCCTGGTTAATTCCCCTTCTGAAGCATCCAGACCAAATTCTTTGCCAAAGAAACCTTCCAGCTCCTCCAGGGCATCTTTGGAGTCATCACAGACCCACTCCTCACAGCACTGGCCAGGGACTTTCACCAGCCTTGGGTTTGGGCAGCCCAAGTTAGGAAGGGAGAGTTCTTGTGGGCACAGTGGGATACAGCCCACAGCTCCGTCAATGCATGTGCACTGGTGCTTGCAGTTGGGCTGAAAACTCTCTCCATTCTGATAAATTTTGGAGTTGTATTCACAGGGTCTCCCTTCTGACTGTGCTGTAACAATTAAGAGAGGGGAGGAAGACATTAAGTGAGGCTCAAGGCTGCTAAAACAGGGTGGGTTTTTTTCTGCAGTAAAATTCAATTTATGGTAAAGTTCCATACAATCCCCAAGAGCTCTAGGCTAGAACAATAAGTTAGTCAGGAATCACTTTTCCTTATGCGCTGTTAGTGCAGCCCAGACACAGTGAATTGCATTCCAGACTGCTGAAGTCATATGCCCTTCTGCCAATCTACCAACAACAAAGCATAACCATACATGGGCTCAAAATTACTAAACTTTGCCGCTACACAGACTGGTTGGTATTTATGCATATACACAGGCACGCACACACACTTTAAAGCAGCCAAGCCACAAGCTTCTTACCTCTGCAGATCCCCTTTGGAGCTGTGGAACTGGCGCCGAAATTGCATTCCAGCCCCTTGGTGTGATCGCAGGGCTGCAACTTGCTACAGTCCTCGTTGAGCTGTTTAGCACAGACTTTACAGCATCCACAGCCATCCAGAACCAGACCAACTCCTGGAGCACATCTTGGGACCTCTAGAGGACACTGGCAAGCAGAAGGGCAGGAAGAAAACGCCTGGGGGGGAGAAGCAAAGGAAGGCATTGCTGAGATATAAATGCTACACTGGGCTAGACAGAAAACGAAAAACAGCCTTTCTGCTCAAAATCCAGACACGTTACCCCTGGATGGTCACCACTTTGGTACTCCCAAAATTTCTTGTGCCTCTATCAACTGCACACACAGGCAAAACCTGTCCCTTCCTCCCCCTGGACGAACTTCGCTTAAGTTTTCTGAGACTAGCATTCCATCCACAACGTATAACGCAATTAATACACCCCCCCCCCCCCAAAAAAAAAAGGGCAAAAATAAAATCCAGACCTACCCCATGCACTAATTGAAGAAGGGCAAGAGCCAGGACGAAGTTGATAGTCTGATAGTTCATCACTGCTGTTAAAGGCAGAACGTCTGATCTTTTCCCCCCTCTCCCAATTCAAAGCGGACAAAAAACAAAGGGAGGGAAAGAGAGCCTGAACAATCCCCCTGCCTCAAAAAATGGCAAGGCTTGGGCAAAGTGACTGAGCTCTGCCGGTAGCTGTTAAAAGAAGGCGAGTCCTGCAGGAGTTACAAAGCGTCGTCTTGCTTCTTTTCGGAGAAACGGGGGAAAGGGGAGGAAAAAAAGACTGCCGTCCCTGTTTTCGGCTGCTCGGCGCTATGCGTTGCGCTTCTCGGGGATCCCTTCGCAGTCTGAAGAGGCGCTGAGCGCGAGCAGCTGCTTATATGCCGAGTGGCCGCCGCCGCCGCCGCCGCGTGCTGCAGCTGCACTGACGTTGAGCGTTCCAGAATTCTAAAGCATCAGGAATTCTAAAGCATCTCAGGAATGTTTTCTTGGCGCGGTTTCCATCCAAGCTCCTCCCTGTCTAAGTTGCAATTTTTTTTTTGGTCTCAACAAAACAGGTTCTCCCTCCCTCTCCAACGGTTTAAGCAATCATACTTTGTAACTACGCCTCTTTTATGTAGAAAATAAATTTATAAACCATTTCTCTTCTCTCTCCTCCACCCCCACCCCCCCGGAAACTTGCAGCCTGGCAATCAAAGGCGTTAGATTGTCCCAGGACATTTGCTAAATAGTTTATATGCTATTGAAAATTAGAAGGAAGAATCCAGCGCGGGAGGCGGGAGGGGGTTAGACATGCAAATCTGGTAGACATTCGGCTCTGATCCAGTGATGAAATGAAAGGGTGTATCCCAAACTGATACCCAGATGGCGTAGTTTAAACTTTTTATGAATGGGGCATGTGCAAAAGAAACTACTCCCTTTTATCTGGAGACGTTCCAGGAAGGGGGGGAGCCCTCTTGTCCCTTAAATTCTGCCTTTCGTTACATGGTCACCTTGATCTTGGCAGTTCAGTTCCCACTCTTCAAAATCAAATGGAGCAGAAATGGGGGAGGGGTCTCCTGAAAGGATAATATCTTACCTTACCTTATACCTTATCCGTTTTTCACTTCTTACTGACTCAAAAGCAACTATTGTGTATACCCGTCCTTCGCTGCAATCCCCCCCCCCCCTTTCCTTCCATCGCTGCCCAAGAAAGGTAGCACGCGTGCTGGCGCTTTCCTTTGCAATTAGATTCAGCCTCTCAGGGACAGAGGCGGCTCCTCAGTATGATCTTTGCCTTTGCACGATGATCTTTAAACTCTGAACGTAGTGCAAACGTGTAAAAAGGGATGGAAATAACTCTGCGAGGCCCATTTTCTGTTTCTGACGCTAGAGCTGCTTTGCAGAATTCAAGGAGACCGGAAGGGTGCCTAGGAAGACGAATCTAGTTTAGTGAGAGAAAACGTGGAAGTCGTTCCTGTGGAACAGTGAACTCTCCATGACCTTCTACCTAGCTTGGAATGATAACCAATTAAAACAAACAGCATCTAAATTGCATATTGTAAACGTAGAGAACTCAAAGGCAATTCGTTTTATTAACTTGTAGAGAAGATACAGGACCCTTTTATGGGATGATTTGGAATATATACCGTAATCCATGCTTCAAATATATCAAAAGTCCAGTATTGGTGTTATAACTGTGCAGAAGGCAAACACTTTGGTGAAAGCGGTATCCATTTTTTCGGGCCTATAAGTACTAGTGGGCTTACAGAAGCTCACTCTTTTGCGGCCTGATTTCAGGGGTTTTACTATTTACCCCTACAGTTAAGTCTCTTTAATAACGTTTCTTCTGTGGTTTGGGGTGTGCATGTGGGGGGGGGGAGTGTTTTTAGCTTCTGTTGTGGCATCTTTCAGTTCGACTTCATGGCTGTAAGTATTTCCAGATGGTGATTCAGACACCAGACGTAACAATATTTCCATATTTGGTAGAGCAGTAGCCTGCATTTTCCACATTTTTCTGCTCTGTTATCCAACCACAAAGCATTCTTGACAGCTTCAGATGCTGTTAAATATAGACTTTACTTTTGTTCCCAGGGCAGGAAATTCTTTGGAATTCCTGGTGTGCGTTTGTGCGTCCCCCCCCCCCCTTCTTCACGCAATCTGCCTATCATGGAGTGAGAGAAAGGAGAAGAGGAAGGCAATAAATTGTGGTTTGCTGATCTATTAATAAAAAAAATAACAACACACACTTTCCCTGTGAAGTAAAGAGTGCTGCTATCCAACCAGGTTTTCTACAATAAGGCAGTATACCCATTCTAAGGGTGCTGCATTTGTTTTTGACCTTTTTTCAAGTTAGGTGATCTGTGTCAGATCCTTTATTTGCTATAGGTTTTTAATGACTAAAACTTGCGAGAACAACTCAGGAACGGAGCACGCTCGCAAAACCTATAGCAGGCGGGGGAGGGGGGGGGAGGAAAAGCAATGAGATCAACCTGGCTGCCTACCACGGCTATACGGTTTGCCTCTTTATATGTGCTACTTTCGCAGAGGGTGGCCACTTAGAGGAGGGGAGCAAACCCCTGGCCAGCCCTACCGCTGGAGGACGAAAAACCCAGACGGCTCGTCGCCTGCTCCTTCCCACCGCTCAAAGGGGGCACAGACAGAGAGGGAGACATTTCATAGGGCAAGGGAACGTGTTTCAAGGTAAGTATTGCTCCTGGGTTCTAATTGGAAGGGGGAGGGGAGAGAAGACGTGTGGCTCTGGGTCGAATGGAGATGGTGGCCGTGGATTTTATGCATATATAAAATTTAGAATAATAAGCAGTCTTTATGAATCTTACAGGAGCTATAAAAATTATAGGGTCCCCCCCTCCCTTTTAGGGGAAGGGAATTGGGGTGTCTATGTAGCCAAAGAGGCGCTGGCAGTGGAAGAGGTGGGACTAATATAATAGACCCTGTGTCTTCCACTGAAGCCCCAGCCAGCACGTTGTATGAGTGGGGTTTCCACAAACACGGGCTTGTTTTACTTCTCAAACGGGATGTATTTTCTAGCTGGCTCCAGACACCTCCTCTACTCCAAGGGACAGACGTGGTAGTGATGGATAAAGGTCCATCTTTTGTGGATTGATCTGGAGAAAATCCATCCGTCAATTCATCTCCCCTCCCCCCCAAAAAACACCCCAGTATGGGGAAGCCGTCTGTCAGTCCACGACGCTGCTAAAAAGGGACTTGAGCCGAGTATCAAATAATTGTTTTCACCACATATCAACCCTACCCCACAAGCTCCCCCCAAATGGATTTTGACTGGGGGAGGGAGCAAGAAACTGGGAAACTGAAAAGATCTCCTAGATTAGAGTCCTAAATTCCACACTCGTAATCCGTTTTGAAAGGCTGCAAAGGTGAGGGGAAAGGATTGCGTGCGAAAGAGGCTGCTTTCTAGCGTTTGGAGCAATGAGGCAGAAAGTGTCGACTGCACCGACTTCCCTTCAAAACTTCGCCGCGGCCTGGATCGTGCTGATGTTATGCCGCCTACCGGCAAGGGAGCAAAAAGAGCCACGTTAGCCCCATTCCTTCCCTTGCCTTGCTTCGGGCAGCCCAGAGGAAGAGAGGATGGGAATTAACGTCGCCAAAATTACTTCCGGCTCTAGCAAAACAAACTCCCGAGGTTTTCCAATCCCGATCCATATTTGGTGAAAGTCTTAAAGGACCTCGTCATCCGCCAACCCCTAAGATGACGATGATGCAGCTGCAGGGCAGGCGTGGCTGTTGGGCTCATTTTAGCAAGCGGAGCTCATGGGGTCCTTGACCCGCATTCCAAAGAACCAGGTCACTCGAGAATCTCTGGGCACGTGTTCAATCATTTCCTAAACTGGGGAGGTGATGGCCGGCCGGGGCTTTCCTCCCTCCCACGAAAGATCTCCCAGTTTAAGCGTAGCAATCATTCAGCATGCCTCTCGTGCTAATCGGGCCAGCTGAGTTAGGAAGTGTTTGATGCAGCTGAAGCCTTCTTGCAGAGTGTGAGAGGCCCTCAGGCAGGAAGTATGCCAGCGCGGATCTAATAGTCAAGAAGCAGGCGAGTAATTGGACAATTGTTTTCTGCCCATGAGTAGTTGCATGTAAGTAACTGGGATCTTTGTAGGGACACCAGTCAAGCAGCATACAATCCAAGTGGAGTACACAAGGAGCTCTAGCAATGCAACGAACACTGCGATCATAAAAAGCCAGTGAGCAAACCATCATGCTGTAATGGTGAGTGTGTTGGCCCAGGATCTAGAAGACCTGGGTTCAAATCTCCAATCAGCCATGGAACCTTGCTGGGTGATCTATGGCCAGTCACACACTCTCCCTCAGCCTAACCCACCTCACCGGATTATTGTGAGAATAAAATGCAGGAGAGGAGAATGGTGGAGGCAGTTTTGGATCCCCATAGGGGAGAAATGTCGAGGCAAGCCGCATATAACGAAGTAAATCAGAGCCTCACATTTCTAAATCAATTGAAATCATTATGTGGTGGTGTGCTTAGGACTGCAGTAAAAGGCACACTTTGCCACAGGTTTTTGGGTTATTTCTGTTCCCAACTGTAGAATAGCAGTCTGAATGCATTTCCCCCCAAGGGCTGGGGTTCCATTTGCTGTCCCTGTTTCTAAATACTGGCTCATTCTATACCTAAATGTTACAGCAGTCGTAGAGGTGTACATACAGTGCTAAATGGATTCTTCCACCCACATGCCATCCTGGGGCCCCCATTGTCTTGGTGGATTAGAAAGATAGTTTCTTTGCCATAGTAAGAGAAGGTGGAGGAACAGGGAGAGAACACAGGGAAAGA